GTATTATTTATTCATTGCATATATTTTTGCTATTATTCATTATTCTTTATGATATTTTTTGATTTTTTTCATTATTCATTATTCGTTTTTGATTTTTTTTATTATTCATTTTTCCTTAGGAGTTTTATTYRATTATTCATTATTCCYAGTCAATTTTGAACCGTTATTCATTATTCAAWATTCACCTTCAGACCCCGATAGTATTATTCGAAGGAAGAAAGTTTTTATTTAGAAAATTCCTTATTCAAGGATCCTCTCTACACAAACTTATATGAAATAAAAATAAAAAATTGAATAAAATGGAACGAAAAAGCTGARCTCTAAAATGCAATTTACTGACAAGGARWWAAAAGAACGAGGCTAGTGGATGTGCATTTTTTTCCTTGTTTTGCTAAGGTTGCATAGCAGGTGTTTCCGGTCTCATCAGAAAAAACGATATCTCCAAGGATTAAAACATGATTTTTCATGTGTATTCTAAACATAGCTAATATCTAATTTAGTTGTTCTAACATCCCCGCTATGCAAACAGCTTTTAAAACCTTTTCGAAGTTTTTAATAATTATGTCAATGATAATTGTTAACTGGAGTGATCTGTTAGCAGTAGTTTAAACTCTAACGTCCTGTTTTTTAATGAATCACGGCACGATCATCATGCCGTTGTATTTTCAATAATGTTCCTTTATTTCTTTATAAATTTTTTATTTACATCATGTGTTATCACAAATTTACAGCAAATTAATTTAGCATTTGCAAAACAACTGAAAAATATGACTAATATTAATAAGCTGTATAAATTAATTGTACATTTAATTGAAAAAGAAAGCTAGAGATATACACAGAACAGTCGGAATGCAACTTTTTCATATTTTTCAACTTTCTTTCTAGCACTMYCTCTCCTCATCAGTCCCCTCATCGCTTTTTGAGGATATTCCGGCAAAACTCAGGCATGCACTTTGAGCTGACCTTAGTGTTCTGAACTATCGATAATAGGTTTTCTTCACTAGACTGCACAAAATTTCACTAATTAAACAATAAAAAACAAAGGATTTCACACTAATTTGCTTAATTTAGTTTGCAAACCATTTCATGGATATATWGAAATCACYATAGTGTTAAATGGAGCGCACATTTAATGTTTTTAGTACCGAAAATCATTATACTGTGATCAAGATAATTGAAATCGAAAACAATTTTGCAGAAAAAATCTGGTGATCGTTTCACAGCTTATTTTTTCCTGCTAGTAATCTCTCTCGT